GCCCTTAAACTTCTTTTCATGTTTCCAGCAGACTTACCCAATCTGTCATTCTCCGGCAGCTATGAGATATCGGCCATGGCTGATTTCCTCTTCCCATTCCACAACTAATATTTATTCTTTGGTTTAATTTCTGTGACCCATACTTACAGAAATTCCTAACATTTCTGCATTTGACTTCCATGCCCATGGTAACTGTGGGCCTAACTCTTAATTAACTATTCTGGTTCATTCAGCGCTGTCACTGTGACTGATGCAGACTGCAGGCAAACTTTGACCTTTAGAAGCCTGGGGCCGTTGTTGGCAGACAGAATATTAGTGCAAAAAAATTACATTAAGTGGGAAAAGAAAAGCTGTTATTGCTTAGTAATCTAATTTGCTGAACCCTTGCTCTGACTAAGTTGCTGAGAAGCTCAGTAATTCTTCATCATGTTACAATAAATCATTTTACTTTCTTTTATATATCAGCTACTCTTAGGCCAGATAGCCTGAGCAGACAGACATGATGTGAGTTGTCCAAAGTGAGTCATTCCACCTGCTGTCTATCGTGTTGTTGGATGGTGCTTGTGGGCCCTGGTCCAGTAGTGTGAAAGATGGCTGTCCTTGTTTAACATAAATTCTTTGTATTTATCCATTTTTTTCATTCTTTTCTTTACTTCATCTCAAAAAAAAAAAAAAAAAGGAAAAAATTTTAGAAATGTTGTTAAAGTAGTTGCTTGCCAGTTATGTCGGTTTATGTTGTACATTTACCTTCAGTTATGTCTGTGATCTAATTCCTTTTTAATTTAGTGTCGTTTAGGACAAATTATGTTAATTTTCTTTTTCTAAATCATGGTGGTGTACTTCAAAACATAGGTGTTTCCAAATGAATTGCTTTGCATTACATATGCAAGGGCATGGAGTGAACAGTTCCTTGTGGAAGAGTCACAGAATTGACACTAAATTAAGAAATTAAAATGCCACTACTCCCCACAGGAAATACATGTTACTATTTTTAAAATGCATTTTTCCTCTAAGGTGTGCAACTGTTTACATTTGGGAATGTTCAATAACCTAACTTTTCTCAAGTCTTACTTCCAAGTACAACTTTGTCCTGAACTACATTAAAGAATTTTGTTTAAAAAAAAAAAAAAAAAAGTAAAAAGCACATCAGGCAATAACCAGATCTGTCCTTTTCCATTTCAGGACATTCACTGAACAATGCCAGGGATACAAGTGCCATGGATACTCTACCGCTAAATGGTAATTTCAACAACAGCTACTCGTTGCGCAATGGAGACTATAACGACAGTGTGCAAGTTGTAGACTGTGGACTAAGTCTGAATGATACTGCTTTTGAGAAAATGATCATTTCAGAATTAGTGCACAACAACCTGCGGGGCAGCAGCAAGAACCACAACCTGGAGCGCACGCTACCAGCCAAAGCTGTGATCGGCGGGAGCAGTAGCGAAGATGACGCCATCGTGGCAGATGCCTCATCTTTGATGCACAGTGACACCCCTGGGCTGGAGCTCCACCACAAAGAGCTTGAGGCCCCACTCATTCCTCAGCGGACTCATTCCCTTCTGTACCAGCCCCAGAAAAAAGTGAAGACCGAGGGAACCGACAGCTACGTCTCACAGCTGACAGCTGAGGCTGACGACCACCTCCAGTCCCCCAACAGAGACTCTCTTTACACAAGCATGCCCAATCTCAGAGACTCTCCATATCCAGAGAGCAGCCCTGACGTTGAAGAAGACCTCTCTCCCTCCAGGAGGAGTGAAAACGAGGACATTTACTACAAGAGCATGCCAAACCTAGGAGCTGGCCATCAGCTTCAGATGTACTATCAAATCAGCAGGGGTAATAGCGATGGCTATATAATTCCCATTAACAAGGAAGGATGTATTCCGGAAGGGGATGTTAGAGAAGGACAAATGCAACTAGTGACAAGCCTTTAATAGTGTAGCAAAGAAATATTAAAGGCCACGTACAAGTATTAAAAAGACTTAATTGGCCCCATGCAGGCTCCCTCATATCTGCTTGAAGAGACAATTCTGTTGACCCTGTGGTTCTCCAGTAACGGGGATGACTGGACCTCGCAGTTCTGTGAATTTTTATAAAACAAAAACTTTGTATATACACAGAGTATACTAAAATGAATTATTTGTTACAAAGAAAAGAAATACCAACAAGGTATTTTAAGATATCTTCTGCTGCTGAATTTAACAAAATTGTGAAAAAAAAGTGAAATAAACACTTTCCAGCCATTTTACTGCAGCAGTTTGTGAACTAAATTTGTAAATATGGCTGCACCATTTTTTTTTCTAGGCCTACATTGTATTATATACAAGGCGTAGGCTCTAAATCCTGTGGGACAAATTTACTGTACCTTACTATTCCTGACAAGACTTGCAAAAGCAGGAGAGATATTCTGCATCAGTTTGCAGTTCACTGCAAATCTTTTCCATTAGGGCAAAGATTGAATACATGTCTAACCACTAGCAATCAAGCCACAGGCCTTATTTCATATATTTCCTCAACTGTACAATGAACCGTTCTCATGAAAAAAATGGCTAAAGAAATTATATTTTGTTCTATTGCTAGGGTAAAATAAATACATTTGTGTCCAACTGAAATATAATTGTCATTAAAAAATAATTTTAAAGAGTTTGAAGAAAATATTGTGATAAGCTCTTGGTTGCACATATGTTATAAGCTGTTTTTCTTACACTCTGTTCATAGTACAGTAGTATGTTTAAAATGCAAGTTCTACCCATTTTCACTTACTTTTCACTGTAAACAGTGTTCTGCTTTGACAAGTTAGTTTTTATTCTTGCGTTTTGAATTTTTACTGCCAAAAAAACATAATTTGGGGAGAAAATTATTTTAGAAGCCAATTATGCCAAGCCTTGCACAAATTTGGTATAGCTAACAAAGATTGTAACTCAACTCCCTGTTCATTCTTTAATCAGGGTTGGGTGGTAAGGGGTAAAGGGGACACTGGACACTTCTCACAAGCTTTCTCGTGAATAAAAGGTGCCTGTCCTTTAAAAAAATAAATAAAATATAACTATTACTCTTCCATATTCCTTCTGCCTATATTTAGTAATTAATTTATTTTATGATAAAAATCTAATGAAATGTAAATTGTTTCAAAAAAATTCTGCTTTTTTCATCCCTTTGTGTAAACCTGTTAATAATGAGCCCATCACTAATATCCAGTGTAAAGTTTAACACCTGTTTGACAGTAAATAAATGTGAATTTTTTTCCAAATAGGTAAAATGTGCATTATTATGTACAAAGCATAATTGGCATCAGCAGTCCTTTGACCTAGCTGTATCCTGCTTAGAATGTTTTCTTTACATTTCATGATTTAAGTGTCGAGAATACAATAGAAACTGTCTACATAGCTTTACAGAAGAGAGGTCATCTTTACTGTTCATGACTGTAGTCACAATTGAATAGGATCAAACACAGACATAGCAGGGTCATTAGGAAAACGTACTGTAATTTCATATATTTTCATAACTTTTAAGTAGGCATCTGTACTGAAATTAAAAGTAAGGTGGTAAACACCACTATCATATGCTCAGCAACAATAATTAGTTAATTGTTAGTGATGAAGATATATTGTTGCAGTGGGGAAAACATGAATAAGCAGCATTTGGATAGCACTCTGAGTGCTATCTAAATAATTAATCCATCACGGCACTGTTTTGAGTTAGATAAATAAGCATGACTGTCCCTATTTTTATCAGAGAACTGCAGAAGGCAGCTGATGCCCAAGATGTTATCTACAAATCAGTGGAAAAATTGGAAGTCTGAAGTCTTCGTTTTGTTGATTCCCAAGTCTCATTTGTCCCTCTCAACCAGGGCCTCTCAAACAGAACACCAGGGACTTCATTTGTCAGCACTTCCAAAATAGTGTTCTTCCAAACAACTCTAAAATTAATGCCCCATCATCACAGAGGCCACAGTTTCATGTATGGCCACTCTGACTATATGTATGATAACACCAAAAATGAATTCGAAAACAGTATCAATTCTGTTACCTTCTAATGCATTGGAATATACAAAGTCCATTTGGAAAATAAATGGATGCATTTTGAAAAACTCTGGATTTCAGAAGAATATTTTGGGCAAGACTTTCTGCTGTTGAGACAATTCAAACTGTAAAATCCAGGTTGAGATGGAACCGTGGGGTTCAGGTAATCTCTATCCATATTCAGGACTGTGACACTGTAGCAATTGTTCTTGAAGAAAAAGGCATCTTCATCATTGACCCTACTGGTAACTCTTGCCAGCGTGTTCTTTAACACTTAAAAATTTATAATGTTTGCAGCAGAGTCACTGAAACATTTAAAATTTATTCAGAAACTGTTTACTTCTGTTTAGTAGAGACGCTTCAAAAATCTGAAGTCTCTATGAAGTAAGAATTTGTTCTGATTCAGGTTATACAGCAGACTCCTTGGAGCAAAAATGATCCCCTTGGTCTGTCTGGCAACTTAACAGCATACTTGCTGCCTTTTACCTAGGAAATCATGTCTTAGGGATTTAAAAATGGTGGTGCTCAAGTAATTACAGTACACATGACCTAATAACGTCACCAACGTTCAGCAGAATCTTCAACCCTAGTTCAGGCAAGTACTCCTTTGTGTCTAACTAAAGGTGGCAAAACTACGTGCTGGAAAAAGGTTTGTAGCATTGTGATCTTAAATATATATTCAGTTGCAAATGTAACAAGTATTCATAAAACAAGAAAAATGTAGCTGATGAACCTAAGATGAACCAGCTGAACCTAAGTATCATAAGGGAATTCTTTTGTTAGCTTCTTTGTAATGTAGATGTTGCTTTTTAGTGAATCTGTTTTTTTTAATGTTATGCTAGTGAGTGTCCTGTGTTTAGCTAGCAGCTAGCAGCCGATACCTTGCCAAATTTCTGTTGGTGTAACTTCTCAGTGTAGTAGGTTACAGTATAATTATATAGCCGACAGCTTATTGTAATTTCTTTACGTTCTCTTCTCACGTTCCTGCCATCTTGTCTTGGGATCAGAAGGACAGAAGAATTCAGAGGAAGAGTTCGAGAATAGCGAAATAATGACAGCAGAATTAATGGAAACAAGTGTTTCTTCAGGGTCATCAGTTAACCAGTTCCTATGATGGTGCCAAGGATATGCTGCTATTTTAGGCACTGTCTTTCAGAAGAGCTGTAATTTTCTTATGGCTAGTAATCTCCTGTTAGTATCAGTGTTAACCCTACTGGTTCAGTTCAATTCTTCCTTGTAACTTCAGTCCAGTTATATTAATTCCTACAAAAGATTAAATGGGATGTGCATTTAGTGAACTGTTGTATAATGGTGCTATGCATTGTTTAATATAAAATACATCTCAATTCTACATAAGTGAACCATAACATAAAGAAATACACTGGTAATACATTTATAGTTAAAATTAACCTTTATCTGTGAATTTTAAAATACACCTTTGCTTCTTTTAAATTTGAAATGAAATTACTAATAAAGTTTACATATATTCACTTATGTAGGCAATAAAAGGTGTTTCAAATTGACATAAGTTATGGATAAAATATGTGTCATATTTTATGTCCTAATTTTTAAGGAAATTCTGAACTACTCAGAGCATATTAATGGAACAACAACAACAAAAATAAACAGTCCCTGTGTACTGTTGTTATCCCACTTTGCCTCTAAGCTAACAAAACTTGTCTACTAGACTTCATTATATGACAACATATACTAGTGTAAAGTTTTATCCCTGAATAAAATTTATTTTTTAAATCAAGAGAGGCTACAGGTAGACAATTACATAGATATGACATCTTCCCTGGGGTTTTAACTCACTAGTTCTAGGGGACAATGGAGAATGAAAAGTGATGGGACACAGTAGTAATTCTTCAGTACCAACTCAACACTTATACCAGGAAGGTCACGGTAAAGCAAACCTTAGATGTTTTTTACATAGGTAGTGACAGTAATTATCCACGTATATGAAAACCACTGCTTCCGTTTCAGTAAGCAAGAGTCTTGCTGTATGGCGGCATTATGAGATAAGGACCCCAGATATATGGATGCCACTGGCATGCAGGGGTCTGTACTCCATAACTACAGCACAGGTTGGAATCCACCTTTGTACTGAGTTGGGGATAAAAATTACCACCACAGCCCTGGAAGCAAGAGAGCTGTGCCTCTTGTTTTTATAAACACTTTGTAAGTTACAAGTAATTCAATTAATGGATCCACATCAATCATCCAGCTCCAACAAAAATCTAGAGTAAAGATTCATTAGGACCCTGTCTATTTCAACAGAGCGTTTGGAGGGTTTATTTTTTCAGTAAAATTCTTCATGTGGTTCTTTAGAATGACAACTTCCAAAATCCTTTTATTCATGCAGGATAAATTCTCAATGGTATTTCATTAATTCATGCCTAAGAGCATTAATATCTCTTCTTACTGTATTATGTCATCTTTAATTTCAACCGCTCCCCATCAAAGTTCCTGGCATGTGAAACGGATCACACCATGGTGCAGCCTGAGTGGTTATAAATGCTACTGAATATCATACAAGCCCCAACTCAGCAGCAAGATGTTAAAGGACCATTCCGTATAGTGCACCAGCTGTTGAAGTCATCAGTCCAGGATCCCAGATGGGGGGAGTCACAGTTGCAGAAATAACATTCAGAACAGGTAGTTTTATCAAGAAAATTCTTCTCTAGCAAATTTTGTGTAATTCTTAATCATTTCTTCCTTGGATGCACACCTCTTTCTGTGTGTTGGAGGAGGAGCCCAGACACAATGTAGACTGCGCTGCCAACCAGTTTAAAGTTTAGAGACAGCAAAGCTGGAGCACAGAAACATCTATGCACATTAAAAGGTCTGGTTCACAAATAGGAAGCAGCAGGTTAGTATCTGTATGGGCTTTTCTAACAGAGAAGCAGGGTCTCTGAATAAGCATCATTGCATAGCTAGTTGGAATAACTGTTCCAGTCCTCTTGTAGTATAAGAATTGCTTTAAAATAGCATAATGATGCTGAACTTTCAACCTTCATGATTGCTTAAAAGAATGAGTCCCAAAGGTTAACGAGTTTTTCATGAAAATAATTCATTCACTTTAAATATACCACTTCTTTTTTGCATTAGGACAAATAGAAACTTCTTAATCTGTCCTTTATATAACTCATTATTTTAAATTCTTCCCCTCCCTGTTCTATTACTTGACTCCTTTCTAAACAAATCCTTGTTTTCATCCTCTTCCATTTCTCTAATCATTTAGTTGCTAGTCTACAGAATTACTTTTTGTCAGTGTGCGTTAAGAGATAGGGAAAGGATAAAATTAGGAGTGAATTGTTATTGTTGATTTATGGATGGAATTGTATTTTCCATCATGTATTCC